GAACGCGTGAACAGACGACGCCTGGCCACGATGTTCTTGGACTTGGAGGAGAACGCGTCGGATCAAGTGCCGTTGTTGCTGTCGATGGGCGAGTTCGAGCTGGCTCTGCGCAAGTCGCTGGAGTCCAACAACACGGACCTTATCTACATGACTCTGTTCCACTTGGAGCGCACGTTGCCGTCTATGGACGAGTTCCGCTACGTGCTGAACCGCGAGCCCATGTACGCGGAGGCTGTGAACCTCATGTTGCTGTACTACCGCGCGACCAAGAGCTCTGGTAGTCCGGCGCTGTGGACGGATGTGGCTAGCGCGGAGAACGATCTGCTGCTCTCGTTCAAGTCTACAGACGTGGAGGAGAAGCTGACGGCGCTGAAAGACGCGACGACCAAGTACACGAACGCCAAGCTGCCGTCCCATGCCAAGCTGACGGAGGAACAGATGGAGTTGCTGCAGGAACAAGGCAAACTGGAAGAGAAGCCGGAGAATGTCAAGCGTCGGAAACTCGTGGGCTTGTCCATCTCGAACACGATGAAGCTGCTGCTGCGGGATTCCAAGTACGAGCCGAAGTTGCTGCCGTTAGTGGCGGCGTTTGCCAAGAAGTTTAAGGTCCCGGACAAGCGCTTCTACCGCGTCAAGATCAAGGCTCTGGCCGAGACGCGGCAGTGGGACGCGCTGCACAAATTCTCGATGGAGAAGAAGACGCCGCCCTGTGGCTTCAAGGCGTTCGCGATCGCGTGTCTCGAGGAAGGAGAGAAGCAACAGGCCGAGAACTACACGGCCCGCATCACGTCGGTGGACGAGAAGTTCGAGACGCTCATCCATCTCGACATGTACAGCGACGCACTGCAGTTGGCGATTAAACTCAAGGACCCGGAGAAGCTCACGAATGTGCGCAACCTCTGCAACGACGACAATATCTGCAACCAGGCAGACAAGGCGGCCATGGAACTCGGCTTTGTGTCGTAGGCGAAGGAAAGGGTATCGTACAGATCGACGGCAACCATAACAATCAAATCAGCTAGCACGGCTAATGTTTTATTCATGCGTAAATTCCACAACGCTGCCAACGGTGCGAATCTGAGATCCCATAAATAAAGTACACAACGCTGCCATGAAGCAAGCTGGACAGGCAGTAATATACGTGCATTTCCAACGGATAGCTGCAACACGCCGTTACATTGAGGCTAGTTGTTAGCATTTAGCAAACAGTGGTAGTCACACGACTGGCAAGGAAGGCGATAAAATGTTCTGTGGTCGGAGAATGACCCTTGTCGATTGTCGAACTAACGCTGGGTATGCTCTTCAAGCGTACCCATTGTGTGCGGGAAAAAAAAACTAAAGTCGTTGGGATATCTGCTAACACCGCCGCATTTGCACATGCACCCTGAGCTCGGTGAATGGTGAAGCGAAGGGTAAAGAAGATCAGTTCAAACGGGGACTTTGCCGTTCAGTGAGCAGCGCTGCACAGCGAAAAACGAAAAACTCAAATTGCTGTTTTCATTTTTCTAGTCGTAGTCGCAAAGAAAATATAATCTTATGCCCTATCCCTGTCTCATACGCTCCCACGTTAATTCCAAAAAGTAATCACAATAATGTTGTACCGCGTCGCCGCCCTGTTTCGGCCTTGATTGCCTGCTAGCAGCTTAGATCCACCACTTTCTAAAACTTGTAGCTACAGTTCTCCATCCATTCTAGCGCTGGTGCGTTCTTCAACCCGTGTGGAAGGCGCGGAGCTATTCGCGCTTTCAACAAAGTGAAGATTATTTTTCGAAAAAGTCCAGCAGCGGCACGTCACCCACGCTAGTCGCCACTGAACCCTCTCTTAAACGATGATATGGTGTACAACATGAAGTTTGCCCTTTGCCACTGGATGCACTACACGTGGGCGGGGAGATGAACTGACGGGTCGGTGCCTACTGCGTCAGCTGGGCCAGGAATTGCCGCTCGTCCGTGACTGCAGCGGCGTTCTCGTCGTGCTGGCTGATCCAGGCGTAGTGGTCCGTGCAGAAGTTGTTGGTCCGCTCGGACGCAGGCTTCCGGCACGTCTCGATGGAGCATCGTTTGCCTACGTGTGACAATGGAGAAGTCAGAAGACCGACAGTCAACCAACCGTCGGGTCGGAGCTCACCTCCTCCGTGCGCCCAGCAACGTCCTAGTGACACTGCGATCTTGGAACACCCTTCGAACTTGCAACGTGTGCCTCCGCCGTGCGACCAGCAAATGCCGCGCGACTTGGCGCGCTTGGAGCAGCCTTCCACCTTGCAGATGGTGTAGCCGCCGTGCTTCCAGCAGAGTCCTCGGTTCTGCGCACGGCAATTGCAGCCCTCGACGTTGCAGCGCTTGCCGCCCTAGAGGTATTTATCCATCAGCAACACAGTAGCATCGAACAGCCATAAACACACATGCACCCACCCCGTGTCGGATGCACAGGCCGTGATCCACGACGTACTTATCACAGTCAGGCTCCTTGCAGATACGAGCTTTTCTCTTCTTGCGTTTAGGCGCCGTGGCGTCAACAGCGTCGCTCTGCGCCTTGCGTTTGGCCGACGTGGGTGTGGCCAGTCGCAACTCCGTATCCGCTTCGTGTTGTGCTCCCGGCACGAGGTGCGGCTCCATCTTAACGGCCGCGTGACTGGCGTCGTCCAGGATGAAGTCGATCGAGCCCTTGGGCGTCGAGCTGCCGAGCCCGTCGAAGGTCGAACTGGGCGACAGCAGCGACGTGGCCGGCGGTAGACGCGCAGGCTCCACAGGCTTGACGAACAAGTCTTGGAAGGACATGGCCCGCATGGTTCTGGGCGCTACGTCGGACTCAGCGTTGGCGTCCCTTGCGCACTTGGTCTCTTTCTGACGACTGAGCCCTCTCGGTCACCGAACGTGCATAGTCTGGCCACGTTTATTTTTGAGCCTGGAAGGGCAACGTCACTACTGGGTTACAGGTTACTATTATTCTGTACTGTACACACAGCCCAACATGAGTCGTCTAACGAAAAAGGAGCTGATTCGAAGCTTCTAACTGTGATGTGACCCCCCCCCCCCCCCCCCCATTTACTGTTCGGCCTTAACTGTCACGAACGCTGACTTGTAGCAACTATATTCGTAGTCTGTAATGACGCTTGCGCCTTTCGTGGATGTGCGCTGGTCAGTAGAGCCTGTCGATTACAAGTCGTTTGCATCGAGGGAGTGGCCAGCAGATCACTTGCTTTTGGTCGTCGTCGAGGC